CGGGGACTCCCGGCAGCGCCCTTCGGCTTCCAAGTCGTCGCTGGGAAAGCGGAGGGCGCTGCTAACATTCCGGCGATTTTTCGGGGTAGACAGAGCGGGCGGCGGGGGGGGGGGCATGTTGAGCAGGTTCTTGGAGCGGGGTGACTCGGAGGAAGAGCTGGAGCGGCGGCCGCTGCTCCGGACCGGCCGCGTGCCCTCGTCGACATCCTTGCTGTCAACAGCGTCGTCGTCGTCCTCGGTGTCGTCCCTGTTTCCGCGAGGCACGCCTCGCGAGAACGACGGGGGTGGCGGTGGCCGGAGAGGAGAAGCAGACGAGGACGACCCCGAGCAGCAGCGCTTGGCAATCCTCAAGCTCAAGAGGATCAACGCCCACCTCGCCAACGAGAGGACGCTGCTGGCGTGGGTGCGGGCGGTGGGGAAGATGTTTACCGCCGGGGTGCTGTGCCTGTCCCTCGCGGACGACGGCTACAGCCCAACCTACAGGGTGTGCTTCGTGGGCATGGGCATGGTCTACTTCGCCATGGGTCCGTACGTCGTGTTCGTCGGAGCCAAGAGGTAAAAAAAAAACGAAAAACATGCACGTACACCCATGCATCATGCGTTCCTTGCCGTTCGGTCCGCGTTTTTTTTGCGTTAGCGTGCACGTACAATAGCCCAGCAACGAGCAACGTGCATGGTAGATTCGCGTCCACCGGCCCGTTCGAGAGGCCCCTATGGGGGGGGGTCCGACCTGGCCTTTTGTCGCTGCCATTTCTCGTCTTTCCATCTGTACGTACGGTGCACAGCAAGAAGAATGGGTAAGAAGGGCCTGCTTCTTAATCCAAATGTCGTTGTTTTTTGTCACGTGTCGCCGATAAACATTTTGCACCCAAGCAAGACGATTGCTATAGTGATGTTGCAGCCAGCTACGTACGCCGGGTCCGAACCTAGCCCCCGTGACGGAGTTAACATAGCACAGGTTGGTTGCACGCGAACGCGCCAGGGCGGTCTTTCCCCCAAAGCTTGCCGCCCTCCGCACTGCGGTAGCGGAGCACGCATATGCTCAAAACTTGCCGCTTATTGTTGCCCAACAGTCAACCAAACAGAACGTCGACTTTGATTTGTTGTGCCTTTTTTTTTTCTCCTTTTGGGTGCGTTTTATTATTAGCATCTACCGCGCTAACCGACTGACCAATGACGATACGCCAGTCTCAGTGCGGTTCGAAAACAGAAAGTCTTCTAAAGGCTATGATAATTGTATGTGTGTGTGTGTTTTTTTTTTCATGTTGTCTTCTCCTTGGTTTTTTTTTCACTTATCCTTGATGCAGGTTTCACCAGGCGGCGCAAGTGATGAAGGGCAGCGTGCACGACACTTACTCGTTTTTCTCGGGGAGTCACCAGAGGGGGCTCACGTACCTCATGATGACGCTCGCGGTCGTCACGGTGGCACTCATGGCAACACAGCTCTCGGCAGATCTTTATTAGCCTTGCTCAAGAAACCGTGGCTGTTCTTTTGGTGGCTTGCGCGAACGGAAAAAAAAGCACCAGAGCCCGCCGCAGCGCGCGTGGGGTTGCATTCTGTCGGTCTCATGAGCTGGGGGATGGTAGTCCGGGATGTTGGTGAACTTTGGTGTGTTTCTCGGCCGTAGCCAACCAACAAAACCCCGTGGAGTCAGCGAGCTAGCTCATGGCGGCGTGGGGGATGTAGTGTAGTAGGTCAATGACGGTAGCCATCGACACTGGTGTTGGTTTTAGTGCGTTCGTGCTTCCGAGCAAACCCTGCTTGGAGTGTTTTTACGAAAGACAGCTTGGTGTCGTCAGTCTTTGTGGTGGGAGGGAGGGAAGGTACGGAAGGCGTCCTACTTCATCCCATCCGGTTGCTCGGACAGCAACGTTTGGTGAGTTTACTGCCCGTTTGACCTCGGCCGCAGGGCGTCGCGGACTTTGGTAGCTCCGCATGAATGTGATTCGTGTTGTTCGTCTCCTCTTTTGTGTGTCCCGGTGTTTTTAAGTGTTTTCGCCCCACCAAGGCAAAGGTGTTGCTTCCAACCAAGCACCGCGGGAGGAAAGGTAGAAAAAATTAAACGGATTGTTTTACACACGACAAAGAACTATGCTGCCGTGTTTACCTTCCTCCTGCGTGAACCGGGCTGGTGCGTAGAAAATGCTTTTTCCGAACCCGAGAGAGTGGGATGTGGCACACAGCAGTAGATGGGACGAAAATACACACACACACGGTGTTTTTCATCCCGCTATTGTACTAGACTCATGTATGTTCATTGGTCAACGGTTTAGCGCGGTCGATGCTGTGCTCGTTAACAAACGCACGCTCTTTCTTTCACCCTCGGCAGTTCTACAGTAGGTGGCCTCTCCTGCCTCATGGTTAGTCGAGGAGAGCGTGTCATCTCACTCTTCGATAGTGCCGACGAACACTTCACCAGTCTCTCTCACCCGCGAGTTGTTTTTCTGGCCACACGCCAGGGAGAGGAAAACCAGTGGTCATCGGTCACGGTTGGGCGCTACTAAGGGGTCCTCGGTATCACGTGTGAACCAGAAACCCGTCGAATGGTGGAAGGGTTTAGATTCGGTACAGCATCGCTGGGAGGGGTCCCACCCAACACAACCTTGCTCAATTTTCGCTTTTTGGTCAAGAAAAAAGTGTACCGGGTTTTACAATAGTGTCATAGCACGGTTCGCAACTGCAGCAAGCAAAGAGAAAATATCCAACAAGGCGGGGCTACAACACCGCGAGTCTAATATCGTATACAGTACAACAAGCACACCACAGCGACAGACTTTTGGCATGAAGCGCAACTTTTGTGAAGTCCCTTTAAAACATCAAATACCTACGTCACGTTTTTCGACCGGCCAGACACAGGCCCGCACCGCTTCCTTTTGCTAATCCGATCGCTTAACAAATCACTGAGCCGCCGCCACGTTTTCTCGAGGCGGTTGCAATGACAGTGCCCCTCCGAGCAACACAGCGTACGACCCGCCTTTTTGGTGTTCCTCAAATCGAGTCACCTCAACCGCACGCCCCTGTCCGCCCGTTTCTAACGCTTGCACACCTCCACATTCCATATCAAAGCTCCGTACAACAGTTTTTACTCCGAAAACATCGGCCGCCGCGTGTGTGCCTCCTATCGTCACCGCCGCCGACCTCGGCTTGGTTGGCCTACTCCGGTAAATCCCGATGGGACATCTCCTGCACCCTCTCCGCCAGGCGGTCCGCCGCTCCCTCTCCGTCCTCCCCCCCCTCCACCCCGACCCTCCTGCCCGACGACAGCGCGCTGCCCGCGGCGTGCACCCCTGCCTGGACGCCCGCGTGCGTCGCGTGCGCCGCGGCCTCGACCGCCTTCTGCGCCTCCCAGGCGGCGTGGTCGAGGCTGGCCCTCAGCCGGTCGAAGAACCTGGCGTCTCCGTACGACTGGTAGTCTACCGGGGCGGAGGAAGCGGGGGGCAGCGACAACGACGATCCTGCCGCCGCCCCCGCGGCTGGTTCTTGATGTTGCGGCGGACCGTCGAGGTTGCCTTCCTTAGCTTCTGCTGCTGCTGCTGCCTTGCCTTCTGCTTTCACCTCCTCCTCACCGCCTTTTCTCTCTCCCGTCATTGCCTGCGTCTCTTCCCCCGTATCGTTGACGCCCCCGGGCCCCTCTCCCCGCGATTCCCCGTCGCCCCCACTGTCGCCTCCGGACGATGAGGACCATGGTTGGGGATCTGTTCCCGCCCACGATGAATCCTCCGCCATGGTTGGCAATCGTTGCTCCTGCACCGCGCTCCCATCCGCGTGCCTCCCCCCGTCCCCGCCAGCGGCCGTCCCTTCATCGTCATCATAGCCCTCATCGTCGGAATCCTCTTCGTCCTCTCCGAACTGCTGCCTGCTAGCGGCCTCCTTGAGAGCCGCCGCGGTATGCCTGCCCGCACCACCGTCACCGAACCCTCCTTCGCTCCCAGCAGGCCTGTTGCCACCGCTGAAGCTGCTGCTGCCGCTGCTGCCGCTGCTGCCGCTGCTGGTACTGCTGGAGTTGAACAGCCGTTTGCCGAACCTCTTTCTCCTCGAGTCGGTCGGCGTGTTGGTCTTTGGGCTCTTTCCCTCCCCCTCCTCCTCCTGCTGCTCCTGCTTGTCCGGCAACTTCTTTTTCTTCTTCGGGCTGATCGGGCTGTTGGCTCTGCTGCCGCCCATCTTCGACGTGTCGCCATCCCACACCTGAAGGAGAGAAAGAAACAAGAAGAAGCGCAACCATTTCGGAAACAAACACGAGAACGGGTGTTATTAGTTGGGAGGGCGCAAAGGTTGCGAAACGCATCTGTGTATCTCGTCCTGCGGTTTATACCGTGCCTGGTACACGAAGGGCAAGGTTTATCAGCCCGTATCGACAGAAGATAAAACATTGGTTGGGGGGGTGGGGGGTGGGGGGCGGGGAGGGGCCACTCGAAATTGTGTCCATTACCCTCTCCAACTGTCGCTCACGAAACATCAACATTGGCAGGGTGCCAACGGTGTCGGTGTCAGCTACAACAACAGAGCGTCTACTTTTCCAGAAAAATCCGCATCTCGTGCCCCCCGGGGGTGGGGGAGCGGATCATACACCCTACTCTATTCGTCCACGCCTCTTTCCGCAGGGGAGAAATCGTCGAAAAAAAAGGCGCATATTGCAACGATATTCGCACATCACACTATCTACTATTCACTGCATCCGTGTTAGCACACAGCGAATTCGCAAATCATAGTATCGAACACTATTTCCTGCGTCCATGATATTTAGTAGGCCGCGGCAGATGACACTTCTAACGAACCCAACAAAGACCCCCACCCGCAGGTTAGACTCGGTGTCGATGAGGAAGATGAAGTCCTTCGGGATGCCCGCGGCTCTGTAGGCCACGGCGTCGTGGACCCTGTTCCCTATCCCCGCCGCAAAAACGGCCTCCCCGAAGGTGCGACCGGCCTCTCGGAACGGCCGTGCTAGGTCCAGCAGCGCCGTGATCTTGTAGTCGTGCATGTTCTTCGACACGAGCTGGAGCGAGGGGACGAGACGCGAACGGAGCGCCGGGGGGGGGGGGGGGGGGGG